CCTCCTTCCGTGCCTTTGAGGCTTGGTTGTGATTTCAACACCATGTCCTGAAGAAGCTAATTTAGTCGTACTGAAAATGTAATCACATATTATCTTCTCCCCCCCCCTCCCTCCCCCCCTTTTTTTTCCTCTCAACTAAGTGGTTGCTTGACTTCAGAAAGAGCAATGAAAAGTTACAGATTGCCTAGCATGCTGACACTGAAGGACAATAAACAAATGTGCTATTTGTACAATAATAGAGGTCATCTTTGTTGACAAATATTTACTTTTATGAAACAATTCTAAATTTGTACACTCCTAAAGTTTGTTTGTATGCATGAGGCTTACAATTAAATTTTTAGACCAGAGGCTCTTCCATTTCTCTAGGAATCGCTGCAAAGGATTTTTAGCACTATTACATTCCAGACCTTACACTGAGCTAATGTTAGACTGATGGTAAACTAATGATAACTTGAGAATTAAAAATACTATTTATGGTTTGGGTGGAAATGTGTTACAGTTCAGTCACATACATAAAATAGGTTGCATATTGATAGGATCTCATGGTTTTCTTATTTTTGCACTTGCCATTCACTGTCTGACAAACTTTCAACATTTGAGCCATTAAACTCCATGTGCTCTTGTTCATTTAAACCTAAAAATACTTCAGAACTGTTTCAAAAGAGGCTGGCTAATCAGAAGAAAAGAAGACATTCAAGACAACTGAACTAGAGAATGAGCCAGTTCCTCTACATCCATGTATTTTGATTTACATGTATAACTAAAGAATACTGTTTCTTGCAAAGATTGTATTTTTATTTTTATTTTTTAATTAAGTATTTCTATCTTGTTTTCTATGAAACAAAGCTATGACAAAATATTCACCCATCCCTAGTACAAGTTTAGTTCATTTCACTTCCACTTACATAGCTTCCTAACAATTCTGGACTGTGCATCACAGTACTGGAAGAATTGGGGCAGCAAAGAAAGAAAGGACATTCAGTAATCTTTTCAGCAGCATTTATTCCCATTCAGAACTTTATAAATCATGTACTGAATTAAGTAGTGGACTTATTTGAAAGGTTTTGCAAAAGGCTATTATTGTCTTGCACTACTGAGAATTCAGCTATACCTTAACTGCTCCTGACATAATGGCTTGGCTTTTCTTTTTTTTTTTTTTTTTTTTTTTTTTCTTTTCCTTAAAGACAGATTGTATACCTTCTTTAGGTATTTTAGGTATATATATATATATATATATATATATATATATATATTTATTTATTTATTTATACGCATATTTATATTTTTATATATATTTGTAGGTATATTGTACTTTCTAAGCTATCTTTACATTTCAAAATATTTTCTTAACCCATAACCTGAGCCTCCAATGCTGTAATGCAACCACTTTACTTCTATTTAACCCTCCAGATTATTGCTTAGACTAAATAATCAAGGTCCATTGCAGCTCCTTGTATGTCCTTTTCAGCCATAATGCCTCCTGTTGGTCTGTCTGCCTTTAGTTCATCCATGTCTTAGAATGAAACAACCAGAATAAAACAACCAGATCAAACACAACATATGAACATAGGAACTTACTGTAGCTAAGCAGAGAAGCATTACCTCACATATTTATTCCAGCATACCTGCTTTTTTTGCACTATTGTTCTATTATTGATTTATGATGTCCTTGGAATCAGATACCTTCTATCAGAACAAATGAATTGGAAGATTGTATTCCACAAACCTGCTGGAAAACAACTCCTTTTTGTACTCAGAGTATTTACCCTGTATCTCATAAGGCCAACTTTTTTTTTCTCCTTAGCTTGACTCAACTAGAAACAATAAATGTAGATACCACATTAATCTAATGATTACCTTCTTCTCAGCTGGCAATCCAGCTTGCATAAATAATGACAATTTTATTGGAAAATAAAGAAGTAATTTCACAAGTCCATACCATTAATACCATGACATTTTGTCTTAACAGAACTTCCAGTTTTACCAGAAAATCCATGTGGCTTCAGCATAAGAGACTGAGTACTACTTTAAGTTAAACCTTTCAAGTTAGCATTCTTGTCCATAGATCTTAGTCCTAGATTTAAAATATTCTCTGATTCAGATCGTAGAACCCAAAGAAATCCATCTGTTGAGAATAGCTAGGCAAGCCATCTAAGAAATTTTAAGATACAGTTTAACAATGTTAAAAGGATGCATTCATCTCAGCATTACTTAAAGTATCAGCTAGGTGAAATGATCAAAAAGGTCCTTTCTTACCCTATGTTATCTTAGATAATTTTATTGTACCGTTACTCTGTATTCTTTTTCTTCAGAAACTACTTATGCATAAGCCTAAATTACAATAAACTTATGAGCAAATACAGCTAAGGTATCAAAGTGCCTATAGTCCAGCACATCCTTCAGTAATTCTCTGGACTGGCACTTATGTTCACCAAGTATGCTTTTCTTGTTGGAAAAAAAAAAATAAGTAAAAAAAAATCAGTACGTAGTAGCTATTATACTGCTTATTCACTCACAATATAGAAAAAAAACACAATCAGAGCTAATCAATTTTCAAGTCAGGATAAACAATCTTTTACTATGGTTGCAGAATTTATTTTCAAGTAAGAAAAAAAAATGTTGCATAAGTTTGACAGTTTCAGAATTTTACTTTTCAAGAAATATAGCTATCTAACATTGCAGTCTTCATAGTGTCTAAGTTTATAAACAATACTTTGTATTCCAATACAAATACTGCATATTTTCCAAAACAACCACCACACATCTTTCAACACGCAACACCTTGCTCTACTGATACGCTCAATAAAATAAATGAGACTAAGAGCAAAGTCACTTGCTGCAGAGATCCATCTCTTGCTATCAGGGCAAAGGAAATGAAAGTGCAATAAATACCACAAAGTTGCTTGAAAATAACTTTCCTTTTATCTAACCACCTGTTCATGAAAACACTCATAATTGATAGCTTCAAGTTCTTCTCTTTAATACAAAAGGATTAAAAATCATAACTATCTTACTTTCTTTTTTTTTTTGAAGTGTATTATAACCACAACTATCAACAGATCTACCAAATCCTTGCAAATAGCTTCTCTCTTATTTTATTTTATTTTTTTTTTACCATGCTGAGCTATCAACAGTTCTGCCAAGTGGGGGAAGTCTTGTAAAGAAAATAATTTCAAGATGACTCATTAAATAAATACATAAATTACTGCCTCATTTTGATGGATTATAGTGTATTCTCTTGCATCACAAACTTCCCATGGTATAGCTAAACTCCTGATCACTGAAGGACCATGAAAGCTACGTGTCTGTGAATTAACAGTTCAGCATCCCACTGACTTTTGTAACAGGGTAATTTAAGAGAATGACTGGAGAAGGCATAAGAAGCATAGTTCAGTACCACAATTCAGCCCTTTAAAAGCACAACATCAGAGTTATCTCTGTCATTATATTTTTCTCAGTGGTTAACTATGAAGACGCTGGGTGGCTACAGAGTGACTACCTGAAGCTGTGTCCATACAGGAACCTGGAATCCAGACTGAACCCACAGTCTATGCTCTGAAGGAACATAGACCTATGCACTCCTAAAAACAGATACCAGGAATGAAACAATCCCTGCAAATATACTTTAGTAAACTGGTAGGAGATCTATAGGCAAAATGATGAAGTCAAGAATTCCAAATGATTAAAAGGACATCAGTAATGTGCCAGGCATAAAGACCTCCAGTGAAAAAGAACGTGGCCAGTTGCTAGGGAATGCAGAAGTACCAGTAATGGAGAACAAACAGGACACCCTCCAGAGAAGCACCTGATTAGGGAAGCAGCCAATAGCCCTGTCACTAAAAGCAAATGAGGAACTTACTCCAGCACTGGAGAAAAAGCAGCCACACCCTGAATAATGAGAACCACAACTACCTACTGTCCTCTCAAATCTAAATATATTTAAAACTCAACTATACTAAAATTCACCAGCCATCTTATTATTAATTCATGTCATTTTTAATAACAGAAATAATAATAAAAAAAATCTATGGAGAGATTCAAGTAGATTCAAAAATTCAAATTCATATTATACATCTTGTTGAGAACAAGCAGTAAGGGAGATTAAATGAATGCCCTTGTTCTGAGATCAGAAGTTCTGTCTTCCTGCCTTTAAAAGACTGCAAATGGTTATAAATAATAATAATTATAAACAAAATATAAGTCAATTACGGTGTCACTTTATAATTTCCCTCCCAGACCTGAAGGACCAAATGGATGATAAATTTATGTGAAAAGTAGTCCAGAACACTATTGTTCTCAATGACAATATAGGATACTGACACTCTTTCCAAATAAAGCAGACAGTCTGATAAAGAAACTCATGAAACACTTCCATGAAAAGAACTGAGGTACTGAACCAGTCCCTAATTAATAGAAAAGAAACAGCTAAGAACGTGAAGATTAAGAGGTAATGCATTTGAGATTGCTCACAATAGGATAGAATTCTTGGAAGTTAGATTTGGTAGGAAATAACTCAAACTAAAGGCAATCTATTTCAAGAAGGCAAAATTCAGTAAAAGGACTCTCAGAAGATCTCCTGGGAGACTTGCCTAAGGGGAAAAAGGAATTAGAGTGGTAGCTCCTTAATGAACCCCTTTACCCAAAGGAGAAGAAAACCTCCTGATAAATACTCAAGAATATCAACATTTTTTATGCATTTTTTTTCCTTTTCTTTTTCAATTTTCTTCTTCTGTCAAAAGGTCAACATAATTGGTTCCCTGTTTTAATTGGAGTACCATTGATAAAATGATAAAGATTGAGATCCTGCAGGGGAAGGGCTGAAGGGATGAAAGTGTTTAAGAACACTTGTATAAGCTAGGTATTTTCAAATGAGCTGAGTAAACTGAATCTTATCCTGTGGTAGCCAAAATCTGAAAGCCATAAATGATTAGCTAACGTGTCTACAATACTGACATAGCTCAAAGCAGTTGAGTGCGGCAATCCCTCATTTCCCCACTTACTCCATGTTGGCTCAGACTGTGGGGCAGTTTTTCTGCATGTGAAGGGAATTCCTTTTGGACGAAATTAAACCAGAAGTTCTGTTCAAAGTGCAGCAACAGTCTCTAAAAGGAACAGAAAGGTCCCAATCAATGTGTGATCTGCAGCACAAGCAAGTCCCACAGCAAGTAACAAGTGCACATGCACCACCAGAATACTCTCAAACCACAGAGAACTCACATGTTCTTCTGCTTCCCATACTACTTGAAATAACAAAGGTCTTGAGCTCAGTAGACAGCTCACATAGATGCCCCCAGCTCCTGATTTCTTCTGTATTACACAAAAACCAGCTATAGTTCAATATATTTTTCTTTTTCCTCTTTCTACTATATAATTTCATTAGTACTTTTCTGAATTGTCTCATCTGTTCTTGTTTCTTTAATAAATACTGACACCATTTTCCATCTTTTCTTCCCAATGGCAGAATCAACTTCTTCAGTCTAACAGAATATTCAGCGTCATCACATCAGCAACCATAGTGACAGCTCATAGTCAAGGGACTATGCTCAAGCTATGCTCTCTTGCCTCTGTAAATTCTCCATCTCCTGACAGTCTTCCCCAGGAATTTTCATTTCCATCCATCCAAACTGTGCAATATCCTCTCTCATCTACCCTGCCTCTTCATAGAAATAAAGACCTGAGGTGCCAGAATCACTGAAGGCATGAGAACACCAGTGTGCTACTGTCATCTCCACAAAGTGGATGAGCAGATGCTCTAGAGCTTGCTGAATCAACATTGAGCAGCCTACAGTCCTAAAAGCAAGAGTTTGTAAGATAGCGTTCTTTTGACTATCTTTGAACTACATGTGTATCAGGGATACACATGGTTCAGGAGACCAAATTAATAATAAACAAATATGCATATCTATATCATAGCTGTTGGATCCCTTGCACAAATTGCTATTTTCTACTGAGCCAGTCACATTTTACCACATTAGTTTTTACTGTATGGATCCCAGTTACACAGCATACTTGCTGTGTATTGCACAGTCTTTGTAAAGGATGGATGAGGGCAAGCTGCAAAGGTGAAAACTAGAAAGGCAGAATTGGTATCTATCTTTTAGAAGACAAAATAATAGCAAAAGGATCAACTTACTTTGAACTATTAAAATACCATGAAATCTATACCAGAATAGATAATAAAAAAAATCTGTAGGCAGCTGGAAGATGCCCATGAGATCAATGAGATGCAAAGCAAGGAAAGAGACACAACAACGGACAATGCAGTTACATGTTAAACATGCTAAAACTTGATGGTGTTGTTCAGACTGGAGAAGAGAAATTAAAGAGGCACACACAATAATAATCTTAAAATATGAAAACACTTTCTTTGTGTCCACTGAAAATTAGATAATAAACAATGAACCTAAACTGAGGAAACTGAGAATCAGGTCATTATTAGTAGAGCATTTTGACTCTAAGAACTAGAACAGAAAGATTCTGTATGGTTTTGTAATACCTATCCATGAAGATTTTTATAAACTTTTTGGATACACATCTCTGAAGAATGATGAACAGTTAAAGCCATATTGTAGCAGAAGCAAAACAAGTAGCTTTTGGAAATCTCTTCCTGTCATTGTCTACAATTATTTTAAGATTTCCATGCAAAGGCCATTTAAAAAAGTACATATCTTCACAAAGTGCAGAACTGGATTTGTGTCTTTTTTGTTGAAGCCTTTGTACAAAATGCATTGAAGCCTCTTTTAAGCTCATGCTGCAAGTATCTAAGACACACATACTAAAAATAAATACATGACAGTAGAACAGGTTGGAATTATGATATTTTTCTTCAGAAAAAAAAAATCAATGTTTATGTTTTACTGAGCTTATTTCTAGAGAAATGGAAATGTTGTTTTCAAATACTATTTTACAAAAATCAAAGTGCATATTTTTGCATATCTCTGCATATTTTCCCAGACAGCTTTTAAATTAAAAAAAAATAAAAAATTAAAAATTAAAAGCAATAACAACAAAGGAAGCTTTTAAGAGATGAAGAGTATCTCTGAGTTAAATTTCAGTGATTGCCCTTTCAGCAGTAGTAAACATCATAATTTGTCCTAACATAGCCTTTGAATACAAATAGTATTATTGTATTTATTATATGATGTCAGTTTCCATATTTATTGCCTATTTCATTGATCACCAAAATGCATATACATTTAGTTGGTTTATGACCCTACACAAATATTTTGCCTAAACTGTTTCAGTAATATAAAATCACTGTCTCAGTGAGTGGTGAAACCCTGACAAAATTGCAAAAACACAAGGTACTTGATCTTTGTCTGCTTAACTAACATTACCCATATGGGTTTTTTGTTTGTTTCTTTGTTTCTCCCCTTTTATGGCAGAATTAGTAGAGTACTGGAATCAATGTGATTAATATTGTGCAAACAGGTAATTTGAGATTACATATGTGAGGTATTCTGTAGAGCAATTACACATGCAATCGATTATTCAGATCAAAACTGTAATAAATTCATTCACTCATATTCTTCATGATGCACAGAAGGGTGAGCATGATACTTGTTTATACAGAGGACAGAAGATACAGGAAAGAAGGTCCTAAAAACTGGGCTAACAACAGGCTGCAGACTGAAAACAAAAAAGAGTTGGGATGTGGCATCTCCTGAGAGTAGTGACAGGCTTTGACAGATGAGTTCTGCTAAGCAAACACACCACAGTCTATCCAGAGAGCACAGATTCAGGACAAATGCAAGTTTTAGCAATAAAATTGGATTCTTTAATGACGACCCACCAATTAGAAAAATGCATATAAGCACAGACCACTAGAGAAATCTAAGGAAGTGTGATTTTGGCTGGGTAGAGTTCATTTTCTTCATAGAGGCTGACACAGTGCTGTGTTTCATATTTTTGATGGTAACACTGATGTTTCACTTGTTGCAGAGCAGTGTGTTTACACTAAATCAAGGACTTTTCAGCTTCTCATGCTGCCCAGTCAGCAAGGAGGCTGGGGATGCAACTGGGAGGGGACAGAGCCAAGAGAGGTGACCCAAACTGGCCAAAGGGATATCCCATGCCACATGGCATCATGCCTAGAAATAATAGTTGGGGTAAAAAAGGAGGAAGGGGGGACATTGGTAGTGATGGCATTTATCTTCCCAAGAAACCATTACATGTGATGAGCCCTGCTGTCCTGGAAGTGGCTGAATGTCTGCCTGCTGACGGGAAGCAGTGAATAGGTTTCCTCTCTTGCTTTGCTTTTGCATATGGTTTTTGCTTTCCCTAGTGACCTGTCCTTATCTCAATCCACAAGTTCTTGCACTTTTACCTTTCTGATTCTCTTTTCCTTCCACCTGGGGAGAGTGAGCAAGCAGTGGTGTGGTGCTAAGGAAAATAACAAAGATACTGCCCTCTTCACCTTAACAAAAATATATTCAATTACATATGTTGAAAGAGGCTTGAGAATGAAGAAAGAGAGGGTTGGATTGGGCAGGGAAAGTTAAAAAACAACAAACAAACAAACAAAAAAAAACACTGATTTTACCCACTTTATTTTTTTTTTTTTAAGGAAAAATATTTGAGAAATTTTATTCTTTGCATACCCGCTCTTCAGTGTGAACCATCACACATTTCCTTTGATCTGTCATTATCCTTCACTACAGTGATAGCTCAGTCATCTGTCTTGTCAATTTGATTTTTATTTTTTTTAAACCACTGTGAAAGAAACTCAGCTGTTTACTAGGAGGTCAGACTACATGCTCTTGTGGTCATTTCTAACTATTTTCTGTGTACAGAGGTTTCCTCAGAATACTGAGAAGATACACTAAGAAAATGAAAGGTATAAGGGGAAAAAATAAATTAAAAAAAGAGTGCTATAGTACAATAAAGTAATCCCAAATCTTTCAAGTCTTAAATAAATGATCTTCAGCATATGTAACATGAGGGCATTTTGCTCTAGTGAAATAAATATAAAAAATATTTTACAGTGAACCTATCACTCCTATCACTTCCTGAAACTCTAGGCAAGCATTCTGTGTCTAATGATTCACTAAAGAAAAATACAAAATGGAGAGAAACGTACGTATGTCACTCACTTTTACTTCTCAAGTGTCTAAACCTCACCCTTTCATACCTATTTTCCAAGACATATCACCCCAGATGTATCTTAATTTAAAAGAAAAAGCACTCACAGGTATATTTTTCAAGGCTGAGTATCTTAGTTGCTTCCAAAGAAAAATACTTCTTCAGTGTAACAGGCACAGACTAACCATAAAGAAAAGATCCTTAACACTAAACAATATGTACGGCTTTGAAATATTAAAAATACATATACATTTGTTGGGTTGTTTCCTTTCACTTACAAGTTTCATGAAATTTCTCAATTTCACTACTATTAGCATTCTTTATGTCCACAGGTAAGACTGATCTCAGATCATACAATTATTCCGTGATTTAATACCTACATTTCAGTAATACAAATTTGGTAGGATAGAAATAAGTAGCAAGAGGAAAAAAAAATAATAATAAGGAAAAGCTTCTTCACAATTACTGCTACACATTTTAGAACAGAACAAATGTTCTGTTCTTCTCCTCCTGGAGAAGAGGAGGCTCAGGGGCGACCTTATCGCACTCTACAGATACCTTAAAGGAGGCTGTAGTGAGGTGGGGGTTGGCCTGTTCTCCCACGTGCCTGGTGACAGGACGAGGGGGAATGGGCTAAAGTTGCGCCAGGGGAGTTTTAGGTTAGATGTTAGGAAGAACTTCTTTACTGAAAGGGTTGTTAGGCACTGGAACAGGCTGCCCAGGGAGGTGGTGGAGTCACCATCCCTGGAAGTCTTTAAAAGACGTTTAGATGTAGAGTTTAGGGATATGGTTTAGTGGGGACTGTTAGTGTTTGGTTAGAGGTTGGATTCGATGATCTTGAGGTCTCTTCCAACCTAGAAATTCTGTGATTCTGTGAAATGATAAATTCTCTCTAAATTCACTTCATAGGCAGAAATCATGAAGTGCATAAAAAGAAGTGGAGCCTTCTATCACCTAAGATAAGGGAAATCTTGGGTCAGATGAAAGGTATTGAGATTTTTGCCAACAGGTTTACTGTACA